CAATGGCATCCTGGCCTGTATCAGAACTAGTGTGGCCAGCAGGAGTAGGGAAGTGAGCATGCCCCTATACTCGGCCCTGGTGAGGCCGCCCCTCGAACACTGTGTTCAGTTTTGGGCCCCTCACTACAAGAAAGGTGCTGAGGTGCTGGAGCGTGTCCAGAGAAGGGCAACGAGGCTGGTTGGAGAACAAGTCTTCTGAGGAGCGGCTGAGGGAACTGGGGTTGTTTAGCCTTGTCGGTCTCTTCTCCCAAGTAACTAGCTTTGCTACCCATTACAAATGGGAAAAACGCTCAAAAAAAAGTATCAGAGATACTTTTATCACTGAATGCCTTTTTGTTGATGCTGTTTTATACCTTTTCTGGGAAGGTAATTTGGGTTTTAATGAATAGTATTGATTAGAATTGACTTAATTCACCTAAAAATCAGAAAGGAAAAGTGTAAATCTGGGGTGAAACTGAATAAAGAGGATGTTTCTTGCACAGTTGCGCTCTCTCTCTGGATTTACATTATATCACATGTTGACTTAGAAATAAGATAAGGTTTTTGCCAAGTAAAATGTAATTATATTTATGGATAATATTATGAATAAAGACGTGAAGTGCATACTGACAGAAGAGCACGGTGAATTGGCAGGAAAGCGACACTGATTACCAGTTACTGATTTCACCACGGTGGAAATCAAAGTCATAATGTGGATTGCAGCAGTCTGGATCTAATTTGCTTTCATGTAACTGATAACTTGACTGTACATTTTTAAAGAGATACTGCAAGGGTGCCCACTTATGGCCCTGATCAACAAGAAGCAAAAAAGGCGGCTTGTGACCACTACGCACAGCTAGTGTAAGAAGTGCCACTAGAGTGCAGGTGTGACCCAGCAGACTGTTGGTCAGCATTTAGTGTGCAGAGAGCACGCTTGCATCAGAAGTGAGATCCCTTTGGCTGTTCGCTCGAAGAATAATTCTTTGTTAGCGTCACATGAGCAAACAGGACAGTTATGACTGTTTTTTTTAATGATCTAACAAAGGAGCTTTTTCTTTTCTTCAGCTGACGCGCATTTAGGAGCAGCTATTTAATTATTCAGCCGTAGCTGAGATCAGAGCTGCAAGCACATGCCGTGCACTGTGCTATGATGCAGCTCCTCCCCCCGCCCGCTGTATGATAGAAAGCTCAGTACATTTTGCTCAGTAGAATAAAGATGACCCAAACTTATCAAAAGTTTTAACAGTTTTATTTCCAATCTTCCAACTGCTCTAACTACCAGCAAGCTGGAATTTTGTCGTTAGGATGAATGAAAAACAGCCTGGATGCTTATAAAAACAGCGAAAGCAAAACAGTCCTAGCCAGACATGTCATCTGGAGAGCTTCCAAATTTCTGTGACACTATTTCGCTACAGTGAGTAACCACAAAATCAAAGCAATTCATGGAATGTCTCTCCAGTGAAAAGTTCTCTTCGTATCTAGGCAGAAGGATTTAAAATCCACATCAAAAGGATTCACTCTGACAAAGGAAAAAGGCAGCAATGAAAAGGGAATCTTTTTGGTTTTGCCTCACTGATGTATTTTTTTAGCGATCTATTTAATCAGCAAAATGTGTTCACTGGAAGGTGAAGTCTGTTCTCTTAGAATTCAGAACGCGTTGTCTTTTCATGCTGAATAGGGAGGGTTTAATACTGTGTGGCCTAATTCTCTGCTTGCACAACAAGATTGGGATGAAATAATAGTTGTTGTAGGAGGGGTAGGAAGAGTTTTGGACTCCTGCTCTCAGAAATACAAATTCAATCTGAACAGTAGGTGGCAGTGCCTTTCTGAAACTAGAGGGGCTGGACCAGATGACTTCTTGCACGTAAACCAAAACTTTCTTTTCAGCACTGACCTTTGAGAAACCTTTGGAAATGTCCTAATACGATTTTGTTTGAATTCTGTTACAGGTGCCCATGATGAACTGCGATCCCCTTCTGCATGCCTAGTGGTTGGAAAAGTTGTTAAAGGAGGGACTGGTTTGTTTGACCTCAAGCAACCTCTCACATAGTGTTTTGGTTATAACTTAAGGATTCTGACTAAAATGTTCATCCTAAGAGATACGTATGCTCTACCGCTATGCAACAAGGGCACATACTGTGTCCCCAGTCATCTTCCCTGTGCCAACAGGTTTGTTAATCTGGATACCTGATGAGCCTAATCTATTTAATGAGAATGTCTGCACCTATAGGAGCTATCCTTTGATCCAAAGAACCATTCATTTACTGTTCATTAATGTAAAAAATGAAATTATTTGTTTACATGGAAAAGAATAAAATGAAGGAGACCGTCTGGGTCTCAAACAGGCCGTGCAACAGCTGTGGCAGACAGAAGTCAAAGCAGAATCTGTTTGTGCTGTCTAGTTTTTGTGGGGCAGAATCCCGTCGGGGTGGGTAGTGCCAGTTGCCACGCGGCTGTTACGTGGCAAATTTCCAGTATTGGAAAGAGCATTCAGACTCACGGGTGTAGCTGGGCAGCGCTGTGCTGAAGCTTCAACATTGTACTGAAGCGTCTGTGTTTGAGGCATATCCTCTTCTTTTCCTGTACTTGTGTGCACTGCCATGACTTTCATAAGCTTTAGAGGATGCATTTTCCTATTCTGCTACTTCATTTTTTAAGAATTATGTGTCTGTGACACAATTGTTAAAGTTCTTTATTAGCCGAAGATGGGAATTCAGTTTTTGTGGTTTCTATAGGCATTTGCCAATGCCTACTCTTACGACTTCTTTGTACGAAACAGATCTCCGCACAGTGAGAAACCTGACATTTGATAAACATTTATTCCTTCAATGGCAACGTGAGCTGCTGTAACAGTGACTACACAAAAGACTCCTGTTAAGAATTACCGAAACAGAGTTTTTTATCTTTTTTTGCTTAAATATTCTGTATCAAAGAGGATATTTAATAAAGGACACTGTGAAGAGATATTCTGAATGCCCTATTATGTGGCTGTGTTACCAAGGGAATTTTGTCATGTGACCAACAGCCGTCGCTTTGACTCTGATGGCTGTTAAAAATCATGTAGCCGAGAGCTGTTAGCCACTCTTCAGAAATCAGACTTTCTTGTTTATACATTTGATTTTAATCAGAATGCAATGCGCGCAAGTAGTTAAAATTCCTCGGAGCTTGCTCACTGCCATCTAGGCAAGCTTTCTAACAGATTTCAACCCCTGATCATTCTCAGTGGTACCTCTAAGCTAGTGGAAAAGCACCAGAGCTCACTTAGCCAGCTGAGGAGCTCCTACTTCCAGTGGAGCTGTGCTAAAGGGGATCAGATCAGAGAGTGGGAGACGTTGGCTTGGGATTGTGAAAGAGCCTCTGTGGAGTATCTTCATGGACTTCATTCTGCCTCAGCCCCTTAAAACTGTGTCAAATGTACTGCAAATTGTGCTGAAGCTTAACAAATGCATTAGGCCGGTAGCTCTCCAGTTTCACTTTGCAAATCTTTGTAAGATTTCCTTGTGTCCTTCTCCAATCTTAGCACCTGCTATGTATTTTTCAAAAACATGTCATTCTGCGAACAACCGGCAAAGAATTAGTTGGGTACAGTTTTGCAAATGGTTATATGGGAAAGAACAAACGTGGTAACAAAAAGACTTTTAATTTCAGGCTACGGTCTGTATTGTTACAGACCATTGGCTGAGAAAGGTCCCTAAGAGGTATTCACCGTCCCGCAGTGAAGAGCATCTGTGCCACATTTTCTGTCTGGAATTGCGGCATCCTTTAGTTCTTTAAAGAGTTTGACCCAAATAACTCATTCATCCAAGTGTTCGTATCACTTCTCTGTGAAGCTTAGGAGGTCGCTTTGATTGTGTCATGATAATGATTTGTCCTCGCAGTTATGGAGCCATGAAATACAGGAAAACTTACTAGTCTTATATTTTGGCATAATATACCCACATACAAATTCTTCATATTTGAAATGTGCATATGTGAAATTATGCTGTGCCGCAACTGAAAAGAGATCGAGTCTCCTGAGCAACTTGACGTCCTTTTCTAGGCACCGGCTCGCTTTTCTGTTGCTCTCCAAAGCTCCTGAGCCCAGTGTTGCCTGTCAGGATCCTTCTGGCAGGCTTGCTTGCTTCTTCAGCGGTGAGAAGAACTCCTGTGCGGTGGTGGGGCGGCAGTCAGCCAACATGCTTTAGGGGGGCGAAGGGGGTGGATGCTAAATGAGCGGGACAGGAAAGTGCCTATAAATATTACATAGTCTTGTTTTGAGAAAACGTACTGAAGTGACTGTCCTTTGCTTTGCACCACGTTGTGTCTCAAATTGCTGTTTCTTGCTCCCTGCAGAATCGGCTGTGCAGGAAATGGTGATGAATTCAGTAGGTGGTTAGTCAGTCCTGCTCCCAGGTTATCTAATACTGATGATTCTTTAAACAGAGCCATTTGGAGAATGTGCTCTGGCTGTGGCAGGATGAGCCAACCTCCCCTTTCAGTTTTGAGTTGCCTTTAAAATTTAGGCACAGGCCAGGATCCGAAAAACTATTCTGATCTGTACTGAAAGAACTGACACTGTAGGAAAGCCCCTAACATTACAATTCAGATCTCACCTAACGTCTGCTCAGGAAAACGAAGTAGGTGGCTGTTCATGGACAAAAGTGATAGGGGAGAGAGCACGGCAGGACCTCAGGTGAGAGTCCGCGTCTCCAAGGCTGGAGAACGGTACGTATTTTGGCACATAAATGGGCTTAGTTTGTACTGTGAAGGAGAGGCAGCTGAGGTAGCAATTACTCTTAATCCGTAGCGTGAGCAGGTTGGCTTGGGCATCATCTAAACTGCCCTTTCTGAGATGAGAGGAGTTTTGGTTTGCTTAAAATTCACATGTGTGCAGAAAATGGACGTGGTAGAAACATCCTGCTTCCCGTGGTCAGAAAACTTCTGTTTCTTTTCACGCAACATGTACCTCTATCCAGCTAGATCTGTGTTTTGCAGTTTCTTTCTTGTTGCCTTCACCGATTGCCGTCGCTGCACGGTACTTTTTGAGGAAGTGCGAGCTGCCTACCCCCAAACACAGTCTGGGAGAAGGCTGCAATAATGGATGGGGCTCTTGCTGCTTTGTAATTACGTAAAACAGACAAATGGAGTCAGTTTTGGCATAAAGGACCCCAAAGAGCTGGCAGTAGATGTGATTTCATAGAGAGGAGGAGATCATGATTGAAAGGCCAGAAGAACAGGCTAGAAAGCCCCTTTGGAGTGTGAGAATGGAGCTTTGCAAATACTTAAATAAGATGGGAATTCATAACTGGGACTTCCTTTTTCTTTTTTCTCCAAGTAAGTATCTTACTGCTCTGTATCAGAATTTGGTGTGATTTTTTGCTGCTGAGGAAAACTCCTGGTTCTCTCTGGCGGCAGACCAAGCTCAACTACTAAGAAGTAGTGAAGAAACATGTCAGATGGCACTGAGAACTCTTCATGCTATTTTTGACTGTTTTCTGCAGGATCGCTTTGAATGCACGCTATTTACAAGTCTTCTGTCAAGTATCTTTGACTTCATGACTTCGACAATTATAAAAAATAATGCAAAACGAATACTAAATGGTCAAACCTTGTGGTGATTTCCTCTAGTTTGTGCACGTGTGCTGCATTTCCATCTGTAGGCGATTTAGAAGTCGGATGCAGTGCTGGCATTGGCCATGCTCTTAATGCTTCTTCCCTGGGAACCATCCCTTCTCTTAGCTATCTGCTGCACTGTAGGGTGCCAAGATACCCTGCGAAACGTGGGAGGAATGAGAGAAGAAAAGGTAGCTTCCAAAATTGCTTGCTTTCTATGTGTTTTCTCTGTTAATAATAGCAAACGATCTGTCGGGAAAGCTAAAGGTTAGAAGCTTGACTGAAAGTGCCCTCCAGGAAGGGGCTGGTTAACGTATGCAGCTATGAAAGCTGGGCGGAGAGGCTTTTTTAAAGCTGTAATAGGAAGGAACTTGGAGTTATTCAGCCAGAAAGGGAGGCAGTGATTCTTGTCTTCTGGTCATGCATACTTTGGCAAGCAGGGCGTATATTGTGGTTTTTATCCTGTTTGTGTGGTACAAAACACCCACTGGCTGATCCAGATTTGTTACCTGTAAGATAGGGATAACAAATCTTTTCAGTACGTTGGTAACGGTGAATCAGGTTGTATTTGCACAGCACTTGGAAAGCGAGTTACGTTCAAGCTTAATAAATTGTAATAGAAGGCTTGTTCTTGGCAGTAAACTTTAAAAAAAAATCCTGTCAGGCAATGAGAATGGATACAAATAGGAATTAGTGCTTCTTTCATCTCAAAAGCAAAGCTAAATATTAGAAGACAGGGAGCAGAAAAGTTTGCTTCGCCAGATCCTTGGTTCCCATGTTGTTATGCTTGTGTAGGTCAGTAACCAAGCAGTGGCAACAACGCAGCTCGAAGAGATCTTTAATCATTCGGAGCCTTTCTGGACAAACCACTTGAAGCTTACCACAAAGTATTGAAATCTGGAAGCTACCTCATCTGCTGAGGAGTTTGGCAAGTACAAGGGCATGTGACACCTCAGGGACACTTCACACAAGGTCAGATTGTGGTGACCGGGCCATGCTCCCGGTCCCGGCTGGCTGCAGGCGGATCAAGCCAAAGCAAAACCTTTGTCTTCTCTGGGATTAGGTCAGACAGGAGAACTTGGGAACATCGCCCGTAAGAGTTGAGATCCAAAAAGCGTTTTGAAGGTTTCAGTGTTGAACAGGGCAGTCTTTATCTTTGGGGTGGATGTGAAGGCTGAGGTCTACAGGTGACGACTGTGACGACTGCGGTAGGTGAGAATGAGATCTGCCTCCCCCAGCTTGCCGCATGGTAACCCATTAACTCGGCCAGCAGGGAACAGTGGAAACTGCGCATCTTCAGTCCCTGCTTTTCCTTGCAGTTTATGTAGCACACTGAGCAACAGAGACGATGCTTCACCCTGAAGGCCCCCAAGTTTTGTTTTGTAGATAAGTGCATGATAATATAACTGAAAGAAAGCAAATATGACTTCTTTCAAAGTATGGCCAGGGAAGAGGAGGTGAACCGTGTCCTGCCGTGCCCATGAGCCTGGTGTTGAGGGCAGCCACTGAGGACACAGGAGACCTGCTTTGGGCTCTCTGCAGTGCCCTGAGGGGCTTCAGACCCACCTCCTGAGCGCCCTAACCACCAGCCCGGGACAGGGAAACTTCAGTTTTCCTGCTCCGAAACTCCTTGCCGCTGCTGGAAGTAATGTGCTGTTTGTAGGGATACGGGAGGGAGGAGGTCAGCTCCATTCCCAGGGGAAGGGAGGGGAAACTAGGGCTTTCTTGGAAGACCAGAGAAACCTTTCTCCTAGTGTTTGTGCAGCCTCATCCAGAAGGGCAGAGAGAAATCCTGCCTCAAAACAGGATTGCAACTGTCTCTTCAGGATTTAAGGCATGATGTGAAAGATAGGGGTTGTAAGTCCCTCAGGCAAAAGAGGGTTATAAAGCCCTGTGTTATGGATGAGCACTGTAACCCCCAGGTGGGGCAGCCACGCAGGTCCTTCAGCGTTGCCTTTCTAGATCGTTTCTGATTTGCTCTGCAGTGCGGTACGGGTTTGGTGAGGCCTGAGGATGCTCCCGGTGGGAGGTGGACACCGGTAGTGCAACGCCCAAGCCTGGATGCCGAGCTGGAGGTGTACGGGGGTATAATGGGGTGCTCAGAGTGCTGCAGGGTGAGAAATCAAGGTACCTACAGAGCTCCGCTGGCTGCAGGGTCAAGGGGCAGCTAAGCAGAGGTTTTCAGGAATGTTTTCAGGAATGCAAGGTTGATCAAGGGAGGCATCGTTAGCGCATCCTCCACGGAGGCCTGCGCCGTTGAGCTGAGCTGTTGGCCAGAGCCAGCCTGACAGCCCGTTCCTGCTCCTGTTGCAGCTGGTGCCGTCGAGCCAGGATTAAGCAAGCTGCTCGTTAATGATGTTTTACAGTTTTC